GGTGAGGCTTGTCTATTCAGACTATTTTATTTCTGGGATTCGGGTAAATATTTAGACACAGGCCCTGTTCCAGACACATTATAATCTCTGTTTACTCTACATCAGCTCCCATCCCTCCCTGACCTCCCATGGACAATGGGTGCCTTTCACTCATTATCTTCACCAACATCTCTCCTTGCTCCAAGAACCAAAGAGGCAAGAAATCAGGAAACCACGGCCATAGTGGTATTTTCCCACAGGTTATTTTCACAAAAGGCAGATAAGGCTTTCTGTTGGCATTACAGGTCAAGGAGGCTGGAGACCATCCTTCTTATCAATTCAGATGAGCTCACCTTTGCAGTCATCAAGAACTTGAGGCCCCTAATCCATACGCATGGTCTCTCCCCCACACTGACCCCTTTCAGTTCCTCCAGTATCCCAAACTCCTTTTCACCCCAGGCCTCTGACCATTCTGTTCCTAACAGGGTTGCGGGCTCCATCCCCAGTGTGGGGTGTGCGGGAGGCAGCCGATCAATGATTCTCTCTCATCGTTGAAGTTTCTGTCTCTCTCTCTCTCCCTCTCCCTTCCTCTCTGAGATCAATAAAAATATTTTTTTAGAGAGAGAGAGAAAAAAAACACAGGCCCTGGGATAAAGGAAAGCACACACACACAGCTACCTGCAAATGGAAAGCAAGCAAAGCCAGAAGAGAGGGCCACCAGGGCTTGGCACGCACCTCCACCCAGGCTCATGAAGGCCAAGTACTTGTCTGCCTTATGCCTTCCTGAGCCTGGCTCCACGGTGAGCTCTCTGCCTCTTCTATGACCATTTGCCTTATTCCCATTCTTCCTCCCTCCTCTGTGAGTTCCCACCGAGGTCTCAGGCCTGCTAGGCTCTTCCAGGACGGCCGGTGGCCACTCTGGTAGCATCCTATGTGGCTGAACTTTGATGGGATCATTAGATGCTAGAGACTTACAGCTACAATGAGATGCATGTTACTCAAGAGAGTTTCAGAAGCGTGAGAAGCTGTCCTCTTTCCTCAGCGAAAACTTCCATCGGGGTCTCTGGTCAGCCCGAAATGAAAGAATTTCTTGGTTCTCAGACAAAGCTTTAGACCAGGGGTCCTCAAACTACGGCCCGCGGGCCACATGCAAATACAAATATTGTATTTGTTCCCGTTTTGTTTTGTTTTTTTACTTCAAAATAAGATATATGCAGTGTTCATAGTTTTTTTAAAAACTATAGTCCGGCCCTCCAACGGTCTGAGGGACAGTGAACTGGCCCCCTGTTTAAAAAGTTTGAGGACCCCTGCTTTAGACCATACCTATTGGTCTCATAGATCTCCATCTCAAAGGATAAGGAGAAAGGGGCCTGAATAACCAGAAGAACAGAGAGAGCCCTAGCTCTGGCGTTAATCGTGTGTGAACTTGGGCCACCCTTGGGGTTAATCATCATTCTTGCTGGATTCAATCAGATAGGTGATGTGACAGTCCTCCAAAGACAAGAGCTAAACCAGAGAGTCTGCTGTGTGCCAGGCACTGTTCTAAGACTGTGCATGCGTCCTCACAACTTCAAGTAGGCACTAGTATCCCTGTTGTAGAGATGACCAATGTAAGGCACAGAGATGTTTAGCAGCTCATCCAGGGTCACACAGCTAGTTAAACGGCAGAGGCTGGATTCGAACCCAACGAGCATGACTCCAGAGCCCAGGACTGAGCAAGGGGTCAACGAATGAGGGTCTACGGGCCAAACCTAGCCCTCTACCTGTTTTTGTAAATAAAGTTTTATTCGAACATGGCCCTGCTATCCATTTATGTATTAACATGGCTGCTTTCACGCTAGCAGCAGAGTTGAGTCGTTGTGACAGAAATCACACGGCCTCCAAAAATAGTTACAGCCGGGCCCTTTACAGAGAAAGTTTTCCATTCTTACCCGAGACCATTTGATACACTCCTCTATGACGACTGTCTAACAATAAAGGAAGGAAAGAAACTGGGCTATTGGGAGACACGGGCATTCCGTTTTCAAGACCCTCCCTGGTGATGGACTGGCCAGCCTGCCCACACCCATTTCCCTCATGCTCGTCCCCTCCTCTGTGGTATGGAGTCTTAGAATTTTATTCCTGGGAGAGGAATAATTGCACTGAGCAAGGGCCTGCGTTTATCTTCATCCTACGCTTGATACAGCACTGTCTTATTCTTTTGAGATCCTCAATCTGACTGTCTCCCCCTGGAGAGGAGACCCCCTGAGGTTCAGAGTGGCTAATGACTTGCCTGGCGTCACAAAGCTGGGACAAGCCAAGTGCTTTGGTTCCTGTGAGGTCCCCACTCCCTTTGGAGAGCTTCCTTATGTGTTGAAGGCGGGTGTGGCAAGGTTGGCTCAACCCCATTGCACCCGCCGCTCCCGTGGAGCTGCCGCTGGTATGTATAACCAAATCTCCTCCAAAACAAGAGTCCTCCATTGGCCTGTGTCCCTGGGGCCCTGTAATTTCTGGCACCACTAGCCAAGGACGAGGGAATTTCCCCTTCCAAGCTCGCACTCTGCTTTTACCTCTCTCACATCTCCAAATAATTGATACAACACAGCTCACAGGCAGCTGTTTGCTAAAGGTGCCATCAACGAGGGAATCCGGGACCGCAAACCAGCCCACAGTGATGACAGGTATAGCTAAGTGGTTTCATGTTACTCGGTTGGCTTGGCTAGCTTCATGTGTGACTTAGCCTACTGTGGGCCTGCCTGCCTGGCTCCCTGTGTAAGCTGACTCCTGCAGTAACCCAGCCCTGGAGGTCTTGCTCCTCCTCTCCAATTGTCTCCAATTGCCCAGGCCAAGGTGCCAGCCATTTCTCTCTCTGGGCCTTATCCGTGTTTTAGGAACAAGGTCTTTACCCAGAGCTCCTGGATCTTCACCTGTTGCTGGTCACAACCGCTCCTTTCAAAGTCCCCAAAGCTCCCCAACTGGCCTATCCTCTGTCCAATCTCTTTTCAGACTTTAGGATCTATGATTTATTTCCTCCTGATTTTTTTCATGGCTGACGACCCAAGCCTTCCAGGCCTGGGATGTATCAACCCAAGGTCGACTCAGGTCCTTCCTTCCTAAAATTCCCCAAGGATTCTCTTTCCAATGCTCCTCTGGTTGCTAACTCTTCCTCTAGCACATAGTAGGGGGCAAAGCAGATGAAGGGGGCAAAGTGTCCCACTGAGGGCCTTTCTTCCATATCCTACTGATCCCATTTATTGAGCACTTGCCAAGCACAGTGCTGAATGATGTACATGCAAGGTCTCATTTAATCCTGATAAGAACCTTTTTTAATATTTTTTTTAATTTTGAGAGAGAGAGGAAGAGAGAAGGAGAGAGAGAAACATCAATGTGAGAGGGCTGCCTCCCCCATGCACACCCACTGGGGATCAAACCCGCAGCCCAGGTATGTGCCTGGACTGGGAATTGAACCGGCAACTTTTCAGTGCACAGGACAATGCTCAACCAACTGAGCCACACCAGCCAGGGCATTATTCTCCTCTTTTCTAGAAGTAGAAATGGAAGCTCAGGGAAATTCAGCAACTTGCCCAAGTCGCACCACTAGTAAATGTGGGAGGTCAGATTTGCTGACTTCAAAGCCCATGTCGCTCTACTTTCTAGAATATTCTAGAAAATTCTAGAGTTGGGAGAGACTTAGAGGTCACGGCTTCCCCATTTAAGAATCTCCCTTCCCAGCATCCCTAACAGATGGTGATGTTTTCAGTAAGTCTGACCAGATAGAGAAGAATCTACCCAAACAAGTGATTGTCAAACCTGCCTGGTCATCAAAAGCATCTAGGATGCTTTAAAAAAGCGCAGATACCTAGGACTATCTTGTAAGGTGTGTTTTTTCCTGAGTAGGTCTGGGATGCAGCCCAGGGATCTTCATCTTTAGAAAACACACCCAAGTGATTCCGATACAGGTTTAGAAACCATGAATGCCACCTCCTGACCCCTTACGTAGATGCAAATTATCGTTGGGAGAAGAAAAGTTGAATTTCAGCCTCATCAAGGAAGCAGTGACTTCTGCACACAAAAAGAATGACGCAATGTTTCTCCGTTGGTTAGAATCACTCGATACTGAGACATGAGTAAGGAAAACACCATTCACAGGAAACCCCTCAAGAACCCTTGAACCCTGCCTGCCTTGGGTGGGGCTCATTCCTCTTACCAAACAACTCTCAGCCCAGACCCACATCTGGGCACTATCGGGAAGAGAGTCATCATTGCCGGTGAAGGTGAGGGGTGGTCCCAGGCCTAGCCCAAAATGCCCGTCTCCTAAGGGGGTTCTGCCCCATGCTTCCCCCTCATTGGCTTCCCCCAAGAGATTGGAAGCTAAGATCTTATCCCCAATAATTCTGTCATTATGGGGGGAGGGAGTCAGGAGGAGAAAAAGGGGACTGGATGAGCACTTGGCAGGTTTACTGCAGGGAGGACACTGAAGAATTTGATGGGGTGGGGGTACGCTGTTTTCAAAATAATTAAAGTAAACTTCAAGGTTCTCTTTAGCTATCTAACTCAGCAAACCTCCAGCCCTCCAGGATTTCACGCCAGCCTTGGCTCTGACACCTGTAGAGCGCCTCTGTCAATAGAACTTTCTACCACGATGGAGGTATTCTAGATCTGCACTGTCCGTTGTGGTCAGGGATAGACCATCCATGAGGGACCCACCACGGAAATCAGCCTCTATCCACACGCACCTATTAAGCACTTGAAATATGGCAAGTGTGATTTAGGAAAAAATGTTTAAGTTTATCTCATTGTAATTTTAATTTAAATAGCCGTCCAGGCCGGCGTGGCTCAGTGGTTGAGTGTTGACCTATGAACCAGAAGGTCACGGTTGGATTCCGGGTCGGGACACTGCAAGGGAGTGAGGGTGAGCCAGACACCCATTATCAGGGGTCTAAGGCGGGAAGGAGGAATGACCGACACCCCAACCCAAGGAGAATACGGCCTCCTACAGGGAATATCACAGTTAAGCGAACAGTATTTCAGAGAAAACTTACCGGCCACCACACCATACTTCGTCCTGCCAGGAAGAAGCCTCCAACGGTCCCACGATTAGTAGAAAACATAGCCTGAGGAGGAAAAGGTCAAAGGTTCAATAGAAAACTAGAACAGAGTGACCTTGCCAGCCAAAAGGACACACCTCCCCATAAGCTCGTGCTTTCTTCTACCCACTTCACTTTCCGAAATACTTCCACATTCCTCGCCCCCTGGGGCTCCAGTATACTCAGCCGGAGGAGGGAGGGGCCTACATTTGACAGACAAGGACACTGAGGCTCAGCTTGCCCTGGTGCTAACTCTGCAGTGAGCTTATGGTGTGGCTTCGAGCAACTCACTCCACCTGGGTCTGTTTGTTCCCGTTAGATAAGGGGACACGGACATGTTTATGGCCGTTTTACAAACATACTGAAGGTGCATGATGAAGTGTCATGTTTTAAAAGCACCATTCGGTATGTGAATTCTACCTCAATAACACGGGGGGGGGGAGAGAGAGAGAGAGAGAGAGAGAGAGAGAGAGAGAGAGAGAAGAAGAAGAAGAAGAAGAAGGAGGAGGAGGAGGAGGAGGAGGAGGAGGAGGAGGAGGAGGAGGAGGAGGAGGAAAAAGGGAAAGGGATGGGGAAGGGGAAAGGGGAGGAAGAGGAAGAAGAGAAGCAGGAGGAGGAAAGGAGGAAGGGAGGGAAGGAGGGAGGGGGAGAGAGGGAAGGAGGGAAGAAAAGAAGTTATAAGAATGCACAGTTTGGACTTAATATTACATAAAAGACTGGGGCGTGGGGGAAATGGAGAGATGTTGGTCAAAGGCACAGAGTCTCAGTCATAAGATGATTAAGTTCTGAGAGCTCATGTACATCATGGTGACTATAGTTCATAATACTGTATGGCATCGTTAAATTTGCTAAGCGAGTACATTCTAAGTGCTCTCGCCACGTAAAAATACTGTAACCATGTGAGGGGATGGATGTGTTCATTAGCTTGATTGTGGTCATCATTTTACAAATGATGACCCTCCATAGCGCTTAATGCCTTGTGCATGGTGCATGGTCAGTAAAAGTGAAGTGAATGGGATTCTCAGTTCCCTCAGGTTCCACGCCTCCCCTTTCTCCAACACACACACACACACACACACACACACACACACAGATGTTCTGCAGTCAGCAGCAGCATTTGGTAGGTGCTTTCTGGCACATGCATAGCAGCTCATGTCCCCTGCCTCCCTTCTCCCCGCTGGTCACTCCCTACGAATAGGAAGACACCGTCTCCATGAGCACAGGATGCTCAACAGCAAGCTCTAAGGCTCAGACGCCACTCTGTAAACCACGGCATTCAATTGGCCTGTGTACTCGCCCCTAGAAGAGAAAGATCTCACTACGGCAAGCCGCAGGAGCCAAAGAAGCACAATTGCTGACCCACATGCTTTTTTCTCAATGGAATAAAAACATCATTGAGCAAAAGGAAGGCACTTCGAAGCTTAAAAGACCAGGGATGCTGGGCCCGGAGAAGAGAAGACTCGGGTGGGCCTGTGGCCTTCTGATACGTGAAGTGGGACAGACTCACTCAGTGGCCCGACCAGACACAACCAGACCCAACGGAAGACGCCCCGGGACGTGGGATCTGAGCTCAGAACAGGGGAGAACATCCTTGCTGTCGAGAAGCCAGAGATGGAGCTGGTGGCACCGGGGAGAGTTTTGCTGCAAGTATTCTAGTGAGGTGTTGGCAACCTGTCAAGATGACTTTGTCAAGCCGTTTAGAGGGGAGACTCAAGCGTAGGATGAAGATAAACGCAGGCCCTCGCTTTGTGAAAATATGTGAGGAAAGAAGGGAATCAGCATCCCGAGGACACTGCCACAGCAATGCACGCGGTGGGAAGGGCCCTGGAGAGGATATTCCCAGAAAAAAAAAAGGATCTTAGGAAGGGGAAAGGCGAGGTCATGCAGAGAGCATTGCCTTGGGAATCTTAAGACCTGAGTTCTAGTCCCCGCTCTGATACTCATGCATCTGAGCGACTCCTGGTCACCCTCTCTGACCCTCATCTGTGAAATGAAAATGCCGGGCTCCCCCAGGGCCCATTGCTACTCAGGCATCCAATGATGCCATTGGTGCAAACGATCCCATAAGCCAGGGGTCAGCACATGTTTTCTGCTCATAAAAAGGGTCAGATAGTACATGGGTTTTGTGGGAAACGTATGATCTCCATCACACATCCTTCTTGTTGTGTTTTGTATTTTATAACCGCTTAAAAGTGTAAAGACCATTCTTAACTTGTGAGCCGCACAAAACAGGCTCTGAGCCAGATGTGGCCCATGGGCCACAGGGAACCACCCTTGGCTTAAAGGGTTTGAGGACAGCTTAATGAAATCTTCTAGAAAGAACAGGTTAAGAGATTGGGCCAAAAGGAAACAAAATCTCCCAAGAAACAAATTGAGAAAAAATGGAAATATATAGTTGATTCATGAGCAACATGGGGGTTAGAGGTGCTGACCCCCACAAAATTGAAAATCCACGTATAACTTTTGGCTCCTCAAACACTTAACTACAGTGGCCCCTCGGGATCCACGGATTGGTCCCAGGACCCCCGTGGGTACCAAATCCACAGGTGTCCAAGTCCCTTATACAATATGGTGCAGAACCATGTGTACAGTCAGCCCCTTTGTATTTGTGAATTCCCAACAGAGGATTGTAAATAGTTTTCTAAAGCCAAACTGAGAAAGACAAATATCACATGATCTCACTTATTTGTGGAATGTAATGAACAAAATGAATCGACCAACAAAATAAGACCCGAAGCAGGGAACAGACTGACATGCCTCCATGTGGGGTTGGGGGGATGAGAAGAGATAAACCAAGGAACTTATATGCTTATATGCACAGCCCATGGACACGGGCAATAGGGTAATGAAGACTTGGGGGTGGGTAGGGGCTGGGAGGAAGGGGAAGAAGGGGGGGAATGGGAGATATCTGTAATACTATCAACAATAAAAAATATATTTTAAAATGGGGGGAAAAAGAAGAATATAGTGTCCTATCTGCAGTTGGTTGAATTCACAGATGTGAAACCCCAGGATACAGAGGGTCGACCAAATATTTATTGGAAAAAAAATTCACGGAGAATCGGACCCACAGAGTTCACACACGTGTTGTTTAAGGGTCAACTGGACACTGAAGAATAAGCTCACGCCCCAATATGATTGGATGAGGCAGCACTGAAAGAGGATAAAACAGGACGAAATAATGTTGGAAGAGGTGGGATGGTGACAGGGGGACAGTAGTCGTGTCTTTTCTACGGTGAGGAAGCACAGAGGGGCTGGCTCGCTCTGTCTCTGCAGCTCAGGGATCGTACAGGAGTCAGGACACCTGTCCCTGAACCAAGCCACTCGATGCTCCAAGAGAAAACAAGAGGAATGTCAACGGGAAGGAATCCAGCACATTCAGTGACCAGGGTCCGGAGGCACTGGCTGTTGGGGGAAGAGTGAACGTGGACAAGTCCTGGCGGGCTCGTTAAACAGCGTTTAGCAAGGCAAGTGATCCTGAATGGCAGATTTGTGAGAAGTGCAAACAGCATCGTCAGGACTGGCGGGGCTAAATGAGATTGCTCAAGGGAACGAGATTGTTGGCGATTGCCTGGGAAACAGGCAGTACGAGGCAGCTAGCAAATGATGGGCTCTCCTCCTGGCTCCAGCACTCGTAAGCTGAGGGGGGGGCGGGGCAGGGAGAGGAAGGCAGGCCAGGTAGTGAAGTACCTGGTGCCGTGGAAAAGAGGCCCGGGTTCCAGGAACAGTTCCCTGCATCGCAACCTCGGACCAATCACAACCACGTGGGGCTTCAGTTTCCTCTTCTGTGAAGTGGGGACTCACATGCCTGCCCCCCCTGTCTCCTGGCTTTTTTTTTTTTTTGGTCAAGTTGTCCTACCCAGCTACCCACTTGTGTCCATTTTACTTAAGAAAACAAAAGTCACTGAAACCGGTTTGGTTCGGTGGATGGAGCGTCGGCCTGTGGACTGAAGGGTCCCAGGTTCAATTCCAGTCAAGGGCATGTACCTGGGTTGCGGCCACATCCCCAGTGGGAGATGTGCAGGAGGCAGCTGATTGATGTTTCTCTCTCATCGATGTTTCTGACTCTCTATCTCTCTCCCTTCCTCTCTGTAAAAAATCAATAAAATATATTTAAAAAAAAAAAGAGAGAGAACAAAAGTCATTCAGGGCCTGGGACATAGGCCCTCGAGGGCAAATAATAACAGTATTTTTAAAGATGTCTAGCACCCGTACTGAGCTTTCAGATTCCTCTCTGCCGATCTTCACAACCACCTGGGGGAGGCAGACGGATAGGTAAGATTGTGTCCGTTTTACAGGGAAGTAAACTGGGGCTGAGGCGGGCTACCCAAGGTCACGTGTCTGAAACCATGTCAAAGCCGTGACTAAACCTGAGAATCCCGGCGCCTGGCTGAGGGTTTGGAGGAACAGTCAGCCACACCAACCCCTTGTGACACCTCGGGAGGCTTTGAGTCACCTCTGCTTTCTATGGTTACTTTTAAAAAGAAATCTCCCTTTCATCCAAAACACACCACACACACACACACACACACACACACACACATACAAAAACCCTGTGGCCATGACAGGGTTAATGTCCACCCTCCTCTCCCCCTGGCCTGCCGCCCACCACGAACACCTTTGCGAGTGGCTGTGATTTCTGCACATTTAAGAACACCTCCTCGTCTGGGTGTGCCAGACTCCGTCACAAGTGAAATTTCCATATTCCCAGCTGCTAAGAACAAGTTCCTCTGGTTTGGTGTGTCCCCACAGTCCCGAAGGGGAGCCACCGGGTTTCCTTCCCTCTTCCCGGTGCAGGTGCCGGCTACCCTCTGTCCTCCTCCTCCTCCTCCTCCTCACCAGCTTTCCCAACTCTCACTCACTCCAGCCCCTGGGATCCGAGGGCACCAGGCCTTCATGTGAGCCTATCCCAGGAGGGGACACCAGGCAGCCCTCCCCTCGCGCACACACACCTGCAGCCGCAGAGGCTGTGTCCTTTCCCGGCTACAGTTTCTTTCCCATCGGAACCGGATGACTAAGAGGCAGGACAACAGTCACCTCTTCCCAAGCCTGGGGACCCTCCCTGCAGCTACAGGCTGGCCCTCTCCTGCCCCTCAAACCACTGACCCCCATCTCCCACCCTCCTTCTATGCGCACAGGCCCCAGGCGCCCACCTTCCCTGCTGGCCAGCACCCCTCTCCCTCTGCTCATCCTCGCTCGCCCTCCTCACCTCCCCCTGTGCCCCCTGACCTCCTCCTCGGCGCCTCCAAGTCATTTCCACTCCGCGCGCTCGCCCTAAGGCCATCCTCCCTCCCCTCTGGCACTTGCTCCTCCGCGTGCCCCTGCCTCATCCCTCCCGCTGGCCCTCGCTCCCCATCAGCGTCCCAGGGCCCCCACCTACCCACAGCCCGACAGCCATCACCACCACGAAGTAGATGACGATGACGGAGATGTCGGCCGCATTGCGGATGCGCTCGTGGGGCGCGAGGGGCGCCTCGGTGACGGCGGTCGTGGGGCTCCAGGTGGTACTGGCCATGGCTGCGGTGGCGACCAGGTGTCCCTCCCTCCGAGGCCACTGGGTCCTTATAAGGCCTCCGGGTTAATGATCAGCCCTGGAGGAGGGCGCCCGCGAGGTCGGGGCAGCCGGGAGGTGATGCGTCCGTCTGTCGGGGACCCCTGCGCTGTGCTGTGCTGCGGCGTCGGGGAGCAGAGAGCGGGGAGCGGTCCTGGGCTCGGAGCTGGGAGCGAGGAGCCCGATGAACTGCTGGCGGGTCGGCTGCGGGCCGGCAGGTAAGGGTTTACCTGCCAGCGGGGAGGGGCAGGCCAGGGGGTGGTGCCCGCCTGGCACAAAGGCCCGCTGTGCTCCCTCCCGCAGCGGGCACGGGGCCGGGCCGCCTGGACAGCCGTGGGGCCGGCCCCTCCCCAGCTGAGCGGGAGCGGCTCCATGGAGGAAGCGGGCTGCCTGGGGCCAAGAGCCCAGGGGCTTCGGAGCACCTGGCACCTGCCCTGGAACCGGTCCCACGTCCTCTGTGGATCTGGCTGCTGCTCCACGTGCCAAATGGGTGCAGGACTGACTGTGCCCAGGAATCAGCCAAGTTCCTGGCCTCCGTGTGGAGCCTGCGGGGGAGGATGGGAAGTTGTTGAACGCTGCTGATAAAAGTTCCACACAATTGCATTCTCTTGGCGGCTGGATGGCCGCCCACCCACCCACATTTCTGATTCCCCTTCCGCAGCCTGCAGCCCCCAGGGGCACTGTTCCCCCCGCTGTGCGGAGGAAGAAACGGAGACCAGGCGAGGGAATCCCACCAGGAGCTATTTCCTTGCCCCGCACTTTGCCCAATAAGGATTCGGGGTCCTTCGCAGGCAGGCAGGAGGGAAAACACTAGAGAATCCGCTCCAAGGAGTTCACCAAACCCTGACCCTTCCTGGGGTCTCAACGCATCTGCAATCACACATCTGAGCCGAAAGTCAGGGCTGGGAACAGAGACAGCAGAGAGAGGAGGCACGAGTCACCCACGATCACACATTGAGCCGGTGATAAATGTGGCCCCGCGGCCCAGGCCAGGGCAGGCCCAGTTCAGAAGATGGTTGGGGGATGCTCTCAGGGGCTGGTGCTGGGGGCACAGAGCAGCCCCTTTTGGATGGGGGAGCCTTGCTGGGGTGATGAGGTACAGGAAGGGGAAGGACCACACAAACCCTGCCCAGACGCTGTTCTGCCTCAGGCTCCCTGGCCGCCGCCAGCGGACAACCACCCAGGGCCCAAACGCCAGCAGTCTGTCCTTTCGCCCCTTGCTGCCTCTGAGGCCCAATCCCCTCCTCGCTCATTAGCGCTCCATCTTCCTACTGAGGCGGTGACTTTCCCCGTTTCCCCCACCCACCACCCCAGGACTGTAAACTCTGAGGCAATGTGACTGCGGGGAGCAGGAACTCTCTTTCCAGGGAGCCTGGCCGCCGGGGGCTCTTCTCCAAGCTCCCCCCAAGCTCCTCCACCGTGGATGCTTGCGTAGCTTGGAGTGCCTCACCTTTCATCGTGTCCATTCGTTCCCGCATTCAGCAAAGCTTTCGTACCCAACTCTGTGCCAAGCAGAATCCCTGCCCTCAGGGAACTAGCTTCTGGTCTGATCGGGAAGTAAGCCCATCCACAGGAAAAATCCAGCCCTGGGTACTCCCCACCCCTCCCCCGCAACCCTCCACGCTTCAGGCAGCAGGCCCCTGCCAAGTTCCAAGAGGTATGTCAGTGGAAATGAACAAATCCACAATGTGAGCAGGAGTGAGAACTGGAAGTGCTAACGGACCTCAAAGGAGGGACCGGGACCATCCGCTGATCTGTCTAGGAGAGCAGAACATGGGTGGCCAGAGAAGGAAAGGGATGGTAGCCCGGGGAGACCAGAAAGTGCAATCATTCATTCATTCATTCATTCACTCTTGCAACCGAAGAGCCGCTTCTGAGGCTATGGCTGTAAACAAGACTCACAGGGTTCCTGCCCTCACAGGGCTTCCCGACCATCGTCAGAGACAAACACCTATAAGACCAGCACTAGGATCTGTGTTTTGAAAGAGAAGCACTAATGCTCCTTCCTAGCAAGAATTTTGACCCGGGGATGGGTGAGGTTGGAGGAAGGCCTGGAAAAGCGCTAGTTTGGGCAGGGCCCTGAAAGAGAAGGAGTGAGTCAGGTAGGATGGGAGTGAGTGATGTACTGGGAAAGGGCAAGTATGGGTGGAGGGAGGCTGTCCATAATGTATAGGGAGGGACCAACTGAGGTGAAAAATTAAAAAATAAAACTATGGCCCAGCCTGTGTGGCTCAGTGGTCAAGCATTGACCTATGAACCAGGAGGTCATGGTTCAATTCCCAGTCAGGGCACATGCCCGGGTTGTGGGCTCGATCCCCAGTAGGGGGCATGCAGGAGGCAACCGATCCATGATTCTCTCTCATCATTGATGTTTCTATTTCTCTCTCTCCCTCTCCCTTCCTTTCTGAAATAAAAAAAAATATTTTTAAAAAATAATAATAATATCTAACATAAATGAGAGAACATACGGAAAACATTTTGGTGCACTGCCGAGCACATATGCGGTGCTCAATAACACGTTAATTTTTATCTTTATCATCATCACCTTACCTAGACCTCGGGATGTGGACCCCCGAGCTGGAGCCCTGCCCTCACAGAGCAGGAGACTGGTACAAAAGAGAAAGCATATACCATGTGTTGGACAAGTGGAACAACTTTGGTCTTCACAATGACAGCAGTATTGAGTCAAAGGCAACTTCAAAATCCTTACAAGGATGAGTAACTCGGTGTTATTTCATGATCACAGTTGGCACGCGTCCGTGAAAGGATGATGTCTGACACCGTAAGCTGCCACTGACTAAGAAGGATGAGGCTTTCCTGGATAGAAACCCTGGGATGGAAGAGAGCGATCATGTTGGGGAAACCACATTCAGTGTCAAGTACGCAACAAACAAAACACCTGTCAAAACAGCAGAAACAGAGTCCCTGACATTTCAGGACCTGGAGCCATAGCGGCTGCCGGCAGTGGATGGTTCCAAAGGCCAGAGAAGCATGAGTGAGTGAGAAGCACGGAGCAGAGGTTCTGAGGATACTGAACTCGGCTCTGAATCAGCCCACAGGACTTTCTCCGCCAGAGTCTCACCATCCATAACCAACCCCAATAGAAAAAATAAAAATAAATAGTTCGTGTAAAAACACACATGGCACATACACATACGAACAGACACCTAAAATAAAGTCCACTAAAAAGTTAAACATATACACACCCTTTGACCCAACAATTTTAGAATTTGTGCTCCAGATAGGCTTACGTAAGGACAAAAACGACCTTTGTTCCAAGTTATTTATTGCCGCAGTATGTATAATGGGAAAAGATTAGGGGCAACGTAAATGCCCATCCATAAAGGACTGGTTACACATGTCACAGTTTATCCACCTAGAGGAACAATACGTGCAGCCATAAAGAAATGAAAGCTCTAGCATATTGATATGGGTTGGTCTCAAAGGTATTTTGTTAGGTTAAAAAAGCAAAGTGTGCAAAACGACATGTAGTATGCTAAAACTAGTGTAAACTATCAGGAGATGGGGGAAGAATATAGGTACATATTTGCCTACATGTGCATTAAAAATATCTCTTGGGAAAAAAATATATCTCTTGGATATACAAGAAACTGGCAAAGCTGATTGCCTTCAGGGAGAAAATTTGGAAGACAGGGGAGCTTTCTCTATATATGCATGTGTACTTTATGAACCATGAGAATGTATTACTTACAAGATCAACAGATAGGAGGAGGAAGGGATGGAGAGAGAGAAAGAAAATAAATACTACACTAGGATCACTGAATAGCCAAGCAAGCAGGGACCTCAGAGATCTTCAAACTTGACTCCATGATGTATTCACTGACTCAGCAAATGTCACCTGAGTGTCCTAGAGATGCCTGGCACTGCTCTGGGTGCTGTAGGAGGAAGGTGCAAAGATGTGGGAGAACACAGCCTAATGGAAAAAGACCTTACAGCTTACCAGTGAGAAACTGAGGCCCAGAGAATGGACGGACCTGGGTCAAGGTCACCCAGGTCGCTGGTGGGAGAGTTAGGGACGAAATCCATGTCTTCAGGCTCCTTTTTGGCTCTATTATCTGTAAGGCTTAAAGGACAGTGAAGGAAATGGACTTGATGACACACCCAATGTTTGCAAATGTGAAGAGAAATGAACCGCAGAACTGGCTTCCCCGGAGAGAGCTTTCTTCTCCTACACAATTTCAAACAGACCTTGTCCCTGCTGAGTCACCGAAAACGTTAAGATGAAGCAATAAAGCAGAAACTCAGCCAAAGAATGATCTTCTGTCTGACTGGTGTGGCTCAGTGGTTAAGTGTTGACCTATGAACCAGGAGGTCACAGTTCGATTCCCAGTGGAGGCACCTGCCCCGGTTGTGGGCTCGATCCCCAGTAGGGGGCGTGCAGGAGGCAGCCGATCCATGATTCTCTCTCATCATTGATGTTTCTCTCTCTCTCCCTCTCCCTTCCTCTCTGAAATCAATAAAAATACATTAAATTTTTTTAAAAGTATGTGTCCACAAAGTATACATATACCAAATCATCGCATTGTACACTTTAAATATATACAATTTTATTTGTCGCTTATACCTAAATAAAGTTGGAAAGAAAAGAGGGGGCAGGGGATGTGCCCAGAGAGAGTGTCCTGGGAGAAAAAATACGCTAGGAGGGAACTCAAAATGCAGGTGTCCAGGTCCTGCTCCACCCCTGCCTCACAGTGTCACCCTGACAGATCCTTTCCCCTCTGTGACCTGCTGCTTCTCTGTGAAACCATGAGCTCTAGCCACACGCCTCCTCCTGCACCGCCCTGGTCTCTCAGCCCATCGGCCTCCTTCATCCTTTCCGGGGTCCTGGCATCGTGCCGTGACCCCTCTTCCCACAGTTCCAGCTGTGCCAGACCCAGGTTCTGACCGGGGCCCAAGTCTTGACAGCCTGAGGAATGGAAAGGGGATTCCAGGGTGCTCTGCTGGCTCGGCCCTTTCTCCGCGACCTTTAGCAAGGCCCATAACTGAGCCTTATCGCACCGTAAGTCTGGTACTTTCAGAGGCCAATAAACCACACACTCCCCTTTCCGAAGGTACATCATTTAGGCGATAACCTGGGTCATACCAACATGCCCCCATTGCAAAAAAAAAAAATGCTTAAGGGAGCAGAGTATCGAATGCTATTATCACAGCTCCCTGATTACACACATGTAACAAAGCCATCACAG